GAGTTCTTCTGAGAGAGTTACAGCCCCACCTCTTCCTAATTAAGTGCGCAAATTTGCTGATAACTGTCAAGTGAAGCTGATGTTCTGCTGGTAACCATTCAGTAATTACGTTTATTCTGTGCCGGAGGCGATACTTTTTCACTCAGCATAACAGGCTAATAATTACGTGCATGGTGCCTTCTCCAAGCAGCATCTGTGGAATTAGGAGGACTGAAATTAGGCCTCGTGTCTAAATTGGCAAATGAAAAATGTTTTATGTAAAGACATCTGCTCTGCAAGTCACTCCACTGCCTGGATGTTACTTGTCCCTTTTTTTTGTTTTTAGTCACGTCCATAAAACATTATAGGCATTTCTGGACTGTCTGTGCTACTTTACATTACTTTGGCTAAATTAGAGGGCTGTACAGGAGATAAAAAACATAATCAATATCCCCTTTACAGCTCCCTCATAAAGGGAAACGTATGCAGAAGGGCCTTACCGTGGATGGCAATTAGCTCCACTGGACTGAATTATTCTGCAACTTAAACAAAAAGAGCCATGAGGAGGCATAATTTGCAACCTTGAGGGTGAATCACTTTGATATTCAGTGAACATGAGAAATGAGTCTGACTTACAAGTTCAGGGGAAGGCAGGAGTGAAAGGCAATGAAAGCATGTCAGGCACAGGGCTACTTGGTCCCATGGCTTTCTTAGGCTCCTTCTGCAGTCCTTTCCCATCCCCTTATTTCCTTCGTGGTCCCTTCAGCATCTCTCTAGCTGAGGCAGAGCAGGAAAGAAAGGGAAAAGGAGAGCGTGGGCAATGCAGAGATGGGACACATCCCAGTCAACTGGAGCTTGCCAGAGCACGTCTTCCCCCTACCCTGGCAGGGAACGGAGTTTACCCACGGTCTCTTGTAAAGCAGCTGAGCAGCAAGAAAGCCCGGCAGAAATTACTAGAAACCATTCCCCCTCCCTTTTTCAGGCATGATGGCTATTGATTCTTTTCTCAGGGAACACCTCTCACCTCTATCCAAATATCATTTGTCCCACAGCGGCCGCACACGCTAGCCAATCTTACTAGGCTCTTTCATGGCTGCAGCCTCACCTCCACTGACTCCTGCTTCCCAGGAAGCTTGCAGGCAAGTTCCCTGATGGAGCACATTTTTCTGTGCTTGAAAAAAAGCAAATATAAAAAAGAGCCAGGAGGAAATACAGAGCACTTGGCAGCTGCAAGCCATGCTGGGCAAACATGGGCTTGCCATATATTTAATTGGGTTCACATGGCAAAAGAAAAGCTGGTAGACTTGGAGTCAGCCAGCTTGCAACGCGCTAGAGGAGGGACCCGAGCCAGCTGCCATGTGAACGTGTGCAGGGAGATGGCAAAAGCTTCCTCGCGGGGAGAAAGTCAGTCTCTCTTTAACTGGATTAGCTGCTCACAGAATATTCTATCATTCTTCTCTCCTCCAAATTCCAGGGCTTTCCTGACACTAATGTGTTTTATGATCCTACTCTGACTAGATTAATATTAAAGAGCAGAGAAAGCATAAAAGAGATCAGTAACAGCTCAGAGGTAAGTACATAGGATGGTAGAAGAGTGGAATATTGCTCAGGCACTAAGAAGCAGGGAATCAAAAACAAAGACATTAGGGAGTATTCACATTTCACATTAAACAGCCAATTGAGCATCCATTTCAAGATACCTAGCCAGATATTTAAGTGACATCAAGCACTGACAGAGCTCTTCCGTAACTAACAAGCCTCTCTGTAGTAAGCAGCAGTTGAGGAGCAGGCTTACAAAGTTTACAGAGGATACAGGTGAAATGATGGAGAGCATACTTCAAAGCCATAGAGGCAGAAAAGCTCTACCCTGCAAGCATAGATACTCTGACAATATCTTCTAACAATATCATTCTCCCCACAGCACTCCACTCTTGACTTCAGATCTGTGAAACAGGGTTAAGCTGGATTCTGTTCAAATATAGTGCAATCATTTGGCTGGCTTTTGAAGGCATGGTTAGCATTTAGGCCTCTTACCTTGCTAAAGAGGCAGTACCGTATTGAGCAAATTTAAACATAGTTCTCATCCTTACCTTGGCCAGCTGTGTAAAGGCTTAGCCCAGACCTATCCCTTGCATCTAGACAAGCCTCACACTTGAGGCATCCACCCTTAAAACCTCTGAGCTTCCTCTTCCCACAGGGAGGAGCAGCAGCAGCTCAGCCTGCCCAGAGATCAGAGGGAGGGAGACAGAGCTTGAGCAAGGTACTTAGCATACGCCTAACTGCAACCACCTGAACAGCCTACTTTAAATAGAAGGATCTTCAAAAGATCCATGTGCTTGCATTCCTTGTTCCAGTAGCCTTTGAGCTTAGGGGACAGCCTGAGTTCTGGAGCTGAGGTGTGACACTGAGGTTCCCTTGGCAAGAAACATTTTAGAGCATTTTGAGACGATTGCAAGCATTTTGCAATGTTTGCATATCCCCACCCTGCACAGAGACACACACATATTGCTCAGGCAGTCTGAGCTGCTTCTCAGGGTTCATCTGCCTAGAAACCCTGGCAAGTTTGCAGCTTTTGCCAGTCAAGCTTTTCCACGGCCGCTCTTCACTTTGAATGCAAATGAAGATCAGAAACAAAAGGGCCTCGCAGCCTGCATACCTCCGTGCATGGCTCAGCTCCAGAATTTGAGTCATTGTGCTAAACATCTTCAGCCATATAAAGGTATTCATTCAAAAAAATTTTGTAGCTCAATGTAGCTGTTTTTCCTACCTGATTATTTTTCCACTTATCTGAAAACTAGAAAAAGGCATGATGAGCGTAACCCCTCCCAGCAATGCTGCTCTACAGATGAGACCTGCTGGGGAACACCAAGGGTGTCACAGACTTTTCCTGCCTGCATGCACAGGGTATCTGTGGTTGTGAGCTGTACAGTAGCACCAGGCCACGAGTTAGCAGAGGTTTGCAAACAAGGCTTACAGAAGTCATTGACATGAAGGCTTTTTGCAAGCTCCCATGGTCAAAGGTGGCATGGAAAGTCCTGCTGCGATCCCAGGAAGGTGACAGTGCTCATCACAGACCAGGCTGGCAAACAGCACAAGCGAGCCAAGCGCTGGCTGCGCTCCTTTGCTTCTCCTGCATCCCAGCAGGGCCACCTAGCTGGTTCCACCAAGCACATTGACCCATCGCAGGTGCTCAGCAGGACTTGTCAGTTTGCCAGCTGTTGCTGCCAAATACATGAAAAGGCCCAGTGGCTGTAAGGAAGCTTGGGTGCTGATTTGGAAAGGCAGGACGGGAGGAATGAGAAGCAGTGAAGTAAAGGGCATGTGTTGGAGAGGTGAGTATCTGGGCTGCAGTCAGGGTGAGGGAGGTCTGGAGTTGAAGCCTATGGGTTTTGGAGAGCATGATGCTGGAGAAGACAGGAAGAATGGGGCAAGGGTGTCTCTTGGTTTAGCCTTTTTAGAATATTTACATCCTGCCAGGAGGAGGTTTTGTTTTATTTTGTTTTATTTCAGAACATGTAGGCGATGTAGCCTTTAAATCCTGCTTAGGGTTTGGCATTGTTGGAGGTTTGTGTAACTGCATAGATGAAACTGGGAGAGAACATATTTAGGAGATCAGTGGGACGGGACATTAAATGTACTTATTTTCCAAATTAAGCTGTTAGGCCCACCAACTCATCTGGTAAGTGGTAAGAGTTCTGAAGGCCAATCTTCATCCCCTAGGACGCTCATATTGTCTGTATTGTCTTTCCAGGAGATACAGGAGATAGATTAGCCATTTGAATGCACTGGTAGAAAAGTCCAAAAGGCAGTTAAAGCAGGGGATGGGTGCTGTACTGTAACTCCTGGCTGCAAACTACACGTGTTAAAACAAACACATTCCATTTGATCAAAAGCAACTGAAGCCTTCAGTTGTTGACTGGCAAAAGATGTTCATATCTAGATGTAGGTGACATTTAAAAGAAATTCTAGTATTTTTAAATCAGACCAAACAAGAATATCTAAATATAAATCTTAAATGAATATAAGGGTAACTGAGACTCATCACAAGGATTAACTAGCCCAAAGCCATACCAATGTTTCTACCACCTTCTCAAACCATTTATGTCATACATTTTTACGTAGCCAAACAAAACTGCGGCCTGATCTACGACAGATGGTCAGTATGTCCATATATAGCTGAGATGAAGATGAATTAAATGAATGAATATAAGGAAAAAAATCAATCCAAAATGTTCACATAAATGTTTAAGGATCTAGCCCTTCATAGAAAAAATATTCTATGTAAAAAAAAAAATCACTCTTGTGTTAGGAAAAGGAAAACTAAAATGAATTTGGCTGAAAATATTTTGATGTTCACATTTTTATAAAAAAAACCCAAGATTTTCTACAGCAAATAGTTATATTCCACAAATAGATAAATCCTTCAGCAGATAACCAGTTCTTCATTTTGAAGCAATTAGATAACGTTTGACTGCCATTTCTCTTAATCTAAAGGCTCTCGAACCCCAAATGTATGCTCAAAAGCCTTCGTGAAGCATCTTTGAACGAAAGCAAATGTTTATTTCAGTCCCCAGCCTCTGGGTTTGCTATCGATCCCACAGCTTAGAACTGATTTCAAAGGATGGCTTTGGATAAGAGTAACATGAACACAAGGAAACTGAAAAATTCTTGGCATTGTGCTGCCCCCTCTCATGGCGGGTTACTTATGATTGCACAATGTGCAAGTAGGGGAAGAGACAGTTACTTCGTGTTCCTGTAATACACTAAAAACACCAACACAATAAGCAAACTACATTTCTAAGAACTTTATTTCCATCTTTCCTCCTCAAGATGTGGAACTGACAGACGAGCTATATACTGTGGACAATCTTGTTGGATTGCACCATTTCATAACGGCAAAGTGCGTGTGGGCCATACGGGAAGAGAGAGAGAGAGAGAAACCAGTCTCCGTGTTTCATTTTACACCTTGTGTGTCCAGTTTGCAATGCTAAGACAATCCCAGTGCAACAAGAGGGACAACATTTTACATTTAGTAACATTTATTTCTGCATTCGGTATCAAGTACATAAGTGCAAATATTCAGAGTCCATAATTAAGTCCATTAGGAACTACAGAGAATGTAATACAAATTGTAATAAATTTAACAAGCTGGAACTTTCCAGTTACCATACACGTAGATTAGCCTGTCAATCCCTTACGACAAAAGTACTGGGTTTTGTTTTCCTTTTTTTGAGTTATACAAAACTGATTACTATAAGTACTGATTACTGTTTATTTTATTTGTGCTGGAAAACACTAAAACATCAGTCTACAATTCTATATAGTTAATAAAGATGAATCCAACCAGCAACCCAGTGACGTAGAAGCAATTTTAACTATTGCATCAGTGCGCTAAGCAGGAAAGCCCCTAGCCACATGTAACATTAAAAGTTATAGAAGCAATGCCAATAGAAGAAGGAAAAACACTAAAAAAATAAAATAAAAAAGGTCAATATTATTTAGGCTCTCACCATCATGCACTTTATAAGCAACACAAAAAAACACATCTAGTACACTTTTCTCTTTACTATACTTTAGTGCTTGACACAAGTGATTGCAAATATTCTAAGTGCAGAAGCAGCAGGGGAAAAAGCACTGCTTCTGAGTTTTATGTTTCTAAGATTATGGTGTTGAGAAAAAAAAAAGAACAATAAATTTGCAGTAAAGTGTAAGAACAGAGATGTTTCACTCCAGATTCCCCCATTATTCACTACTGTAGTTGATGAATTCTTGATGTCTGCTTTACTCTGCCTTTCTCTTAGCACCTGGGATTTTAGCCTGAATCCTAGAAGCAAAGGGAAAAGAAGAATCAGATGGTCAGGCAGCTATTCCATTCCAGTGCTTCCCCACACCGAGTCTTAGCCAGGGTAACCTTTGCTTTACCTTGTGTTCGGTGTATTTTGGTGTGAGGTGGACTAGAGTCTAACCTGAAAAAGGATGATACCCATTCCTATTCTACTTGTAAGTGGCTTGATTCTTGGCAGTTCTTGTAATCATATGATATGCTCAGTGATTTCCTTCCTGCTTTGTTAACCTTCTGTGGCCTATTGTCTATCCAAGAATGATTGCTAAGCACAGAATTTTCAGTACAGACTTTCAGTCCTGCCCAAGGCTACAGATTCACAGAATCACAGAAATGTTGGTGGAAAATGAGCCCTGGAGGTCTTCAGCCTAATCTCGCTCTTGAAGCAGGACTATCACCAACGCTAAATCAGGTCAGCTGTGGCTCTGTCTTGCTGTGTCTTGAAAACCTCAAAGGATGGATGTTCTGGCACTTCCCTGGGCAGCCAGATTAACTGTACTAATCTCCTAGAGAAAAAGTTTCTCCCAATGTCCGGACTGAATCTCCTAAGCTGAACTTACGCTGTTGCTCCCTGTTATAACATCTGCTACTGCTGAGAAGGGTTTGGCTCCATCCTCTTTCTAACTTCCTTTCAACAACTTACAGGTTGCTGTACGATCGTCCCTTAGCCTCCTTGTTGCCAGGCTAAACAAACTCATTTTCCTCAGCACCACCTCACGGGTTGCTTGCTCTCTGTCCCTCACTATCTTGTAGCCCTCCATTGGATACCTGTTGTTCAGCCAACTTGTGCAAAGCCATGAATAGAAATTGCTGAGGTGTATGGACCTACCTTTCAGAAAGTCCAGCCATCCTGCTCCAGTAATTCTTAACTGTTGTGAATTATACTTTGACTTCACTATGCCCTTGTGAATCCCACAAAAGCTTCTGAACAGGCAGCACATTACGAGCTGGAGCAGACTACCTCGAAAGTATCATTCAGACGTTCTGTCCATTCCATGGTGGTTCAACACCCTTGAGGTTATGGAGCTTCTAGGTATTTGCTTTTTCTAACTCCCACTTTGTTTATGAACATTATTATTATTATTAACTCTATTGGGTAGAGTACCTGAATATGAAAAGCCAGGCTTGGGGTGGTCAGTGAAGAAGGGGGTTAAGACCTTCCTTTTGGTCTGTCGTGGTCAGGTAAACATATGGACATGAGCCCCAACAGAGCTGCTCTGTCCATAGCTCCCGCAAAGGGGAGGAGAGGGGCGAGAAGGATGCAGGGCCACAGCTCAGCCTCAGTCCACGCTCATCTGAGAAGGACTGCGTTCCTCCAGAGACCTGCCTGCCCTCATGCAGGGGAGGACATCATTCACAGGGCAGATTGTCTGGAGGACCACCCAGCTCTTAGCCACCCCCAGTGCACAGGAACCTCACAGCAAGACTTCCGGTCCAGTCACTGCTTGAACTCACTTTGCCACAACAGTGTTTATGTGGGTCCGCACAAGTCCCAAGTATTGATCAATCTGTGCCTGCAAAGAGCACAAGGGGACAAAGTCAGTCGGCAGTCAACCAGGCAGAACCACCCATGCACCCAGCCGACACAGCTCTCTCGTCACCCTGCCGCTGGACTTACCTGGTACTTGTCATATACAACAGGTAGAGTAAACATAGACACCACAGCTGGGGAGAAAAAGAGCACACTGTTATATTCCTGCTCATCCGATTCCTCTAGAGAGGAGACCTACTTCAAATAGTGACAAACACATATCATGCCACTTGGTCAGCTGATCCACCAGGGATCTCTGTATTAACATCAAATGTAGCTCAGGCCTCCCAAATATGGCATTTCCCATTCCTCTGGATCTAGTAGCTGCAACCCCATAAAAAATAAATTGATTCTAGCAGGAGGGACAATGGAATGGGAGTAATAAATACTAACTGGAAAGGGAAATAAAAGTTAACGGTTTAGCTGTGCGGAAGGCACACTAAGAATTGGCTGTTTTGTCTAAGTAGAAATCGCCAGGGAGTTAAAGTTAAAAATAGATTTTAACAGAAATGATCGTTTTTACCCATTATCAGAAGAGTCAGGCCATTGAAGAGGGCTCCCACGTAAGTCAGCAGCCACATTAGTACTGCAAACTAAATCAAAGATGGATCATTACATCATTTCCAATGTCAGCATAAGAAGAAAGGAGTTCACTTCACTAGCTAATGTAATGGCACATTAGCCTTTTTAATGTGTAAAGGGACTTGTTAAGTAAGGTACATTAGGAACTAAGGACTTCTTTTCTTCCCTGATTTTTAAAGAGTTACAGTCACCTGCAGATAGGAAAATTAAATATTCTGCAAGCTTTTCAGCCATATGAAAAGCAAAAAGTAATCACTGGTACTTTTTTTCTGGGAGCATGACCCCATTTACCCTTCTACAGTTCACTGCTTCTCATCCTCCTTGCTGAGCTTTCACATATATCCACGGCTCAATTGCATATATTTAGGAATCTGCATCGAATACGGAATAGGAAGGTTTCAGCATCCAATTTTGATGAAGGCAGGGGTCACCAGGTCACCCCACACAGATTAATCACACCCACTGTGATAAGCCCAGAGACTGATAATTCCTCAGGGCTGGGAGACGGATACATTTTCAAAATACCTTTAAATTTAGGAACCTGAGCCACGTGGTGTCTCTTAATGATCTTTGCACTGAAGAACACCTGCTTTGGTGTAAGGCTGAAAAAAAAAAACCATCACAGCCAGCGTTAAAAGGAGTCCAGATTAACAGAGGGAGAGAGGACAACACACCATTTTGTGGCAAGGCCACAGAAAGCGTAACTCAGAGGTGCTTCAAGTGGAGCTAAGCTGGTCCTGAAACTTTCAAAACTCCTGCATTATGGATCACTAAATTCAAGTGCAGATTGCCAAATCGCTAATCTATGGAAAGCAAACAGTTTAAACATCAAAAAAGAAAGCAACTTTTATACTTTCTAGGTGCATACAGTTAGCTTTTATGAGGACACTGTCCACAAGGAAGCCAGTACTTTGAAATCTAAATTAGCTCCTCTAAAGAAGGTTTGAAAATGTATAAAGCAATCCTACTTTTAAGGAATCCACGAGGTCCTGAACGAGAAAGAGTCTCCTCAGCTCTTTGACTGTGCTGTTGACATATAGCTGGAGGCAGTCTGTGTATTTCTGAATCTGGTCCTGTGAAAGATTCATTTCCATCTCCAGGTAGGCTCTGCCAAAAACACAGGTTCAGTTACAAACCCGGGCAGGTTCACCTGCTGTTCACGCTTGTGCCTTTCTCTCTGTCACTCCCTCCTCCCCAGATCCCATTTTTTCGCAGCTGGAGCAACGCGTTCCTCCAAGTGCAGGCACAGAGCCACCAGCACATGCTACCACTGCCTCGCACCAACCCATCTTCCTAGGCGATCACGGGCTGAGCTGGGCCAGTTTGCCTCATCCCCATGCAGACTCCCATCTTGTTGGGATCTCTCTCTTTACTCCACATAAAAGGGGTGAATAACCAGGGGATTTTCCCCACAACCTTCCTTGCAACACTGCTAGCACAGAATGGGACATCGCCTCCAGCTGGCAACCTCTGGAGGAACTAATGTTGTTTTCTGGCCACATGTTGCCTCCAGCAGTGACCCTGGACTAAGGCCTAAGGCCTTTCACTCCTGCATCTCTCTGTGCACCATGCACTGCCTTCTGGGCATGGGGCCCGTGTTGTGAGTCAGATCACAGACATGATCGTAAAGAAGAAAGAACAGCAGCCCAACAGGACCTTTTTTCAAGACTGTGTTTGCAAACCAGAGCAGTTCCCTGACCTGGTTCACAAACTCATTGGCACAGCAGAGGAGAAAGGATCGCTGTTCTCCCGGAGCGAGCTGCCAGGAGCCTGCAGGGGATGAGGAGAGCTACCATCACCTAAGATGATATATTGTCACATCACAACCTAGCAGCGCCGGAGAAAAGATATAAGTAAGTTCCCTCCGTGCTCAATGGAGTGTGCCCAGAAACAATACTCCTCCTACTTGCAGAGATACTGTATTATCATTAGCTCTAATGAAACTCCTTTCCTCTGTTTACTCATAATTTTCTGGATCTTTTGACTTTCACACAAAAATTTCCCAGGTATTAAAGGACGATTGCTTTTGTGGTTTTTTTCCCCAGAATCTGAGCCAATGCGACCTTAGGGCTCTTGAGACACTAGACAATAGAAAATAACGTTTTCCCTTGTTTTGAGTAAAAAATGAATTGTATCTGGTATAAAAACACAGCTAGAGAAACCTGAATTGTCACTGCGAATGAATCCTTTGCAAGAGGAACGGCAGCTGGCCACACCTGCAAAGCACTCACTTGAAAGGATGTCCCTCGTCTGTCTTCTGCACGGCCTGTAGGACTGACTTGTAGATTCTGAAGCTGATGGTGGCTGAGAGACCGGCCAGGGCCAGGTAGGCCACGACACTGACGACGCTGAACTGGGTCAGGGAGAAGAGCAGCAGCAGGAGGCTCCCGAACACTATTCCTGTCTGCTTGATGTCACGCCAGTACAACAGATCGATAGCTGGGGAGAGAAGACCAAGACGTTAAACATGGGAGTGGGAGCGGTGTTAAGGCTGGCCTTTAGAAGAAAGCAAGGGGAGGAGCGGTATTCCCTCTCACACTAGCCTAAACAGGATTTTACTTCACCGAGAGCGAAGTGACTTGAGAGATACACTGAGAAAACCAAGACTGATGACCGGTGTGAAATCGTTTTCCATGCGTATTATGTCTCACCACCCCCCTCTGCACTGTTTGAGAAGATGGATGAATATACCCCAGACGCAGCATGGTGGGTCTCCTGCAATAGCAAGGCAACCGAGCACTGGGCTTTGCCTTCTTTCTAGGGTTACATGGACGTTTTCACCCTAACTTGCATTTATTTACTCTCCAACTAGGAAAAGTTCCTGCTTTACATTAAAATTTTGGATTTATTTTTGTCACAAATCCAAATCTCCAAATATTTTTTAGTTCCAGATCAAAACATTTTCAAGTTTTGGTTGTTGACACCTGAGAAAGTTTGGGGTTAGCCACAACAAGCCAGTATCCCACTGAAAATTTTGATGATATAATTGTGTTATTTTCAAATTTTTGAGAGAAAAAAAGGCTCTTGCTTTTTTTACTGCTTAGTGGTTAGGTAGGTTGGAAACCATTTTACAGATGGGACCTTAAAATACAAAAGAAGCCCTTTTGCTAACTCTTACTTTGAAATCTGACCATTTCAGAAATATTTTTAAAAAAATCTTTCTGCATCTTAGATAACTTCCCCAGTGTAGATACATGAGAGATGTTAAGTAGAACAAGGCAAATGCTGAAAAGCATTTTCAGCAAATACGTTTATGCATTTGTAAATAAGTTTATTTTGACAGGGCTTTTCACCCGGTTGGTATACTTTTTCCTGACTACTCTAGCACACAATCTTACTGACAGGAGAAGTTGTCATAAAAGCAAAATTTTAAGAAATGATTGCTGAATATCCAGTCCACAAAGGTGACTTCAGTTTATTTACATCTGTAACCTATTTCTGAAAGGACTCTTCCTCCAGCCAGGAATCACGCTTATGACAATCTAAACAAAACAGCTCTAATTTCACACTGTTCACTGAACAAGTCACCATGAACAGCTTGAACAAAACACCAGCCAAACGTTTTTCATAGCTGCCGCTTGTCAAATCATTCTGAACAAAGAGCAATTCAGAAAAATTGCAATCTGTCCAAAGAAAATTCACAAATACAAAAACAAAATTAATCCAATGTAGTAGCTCTTATCATCTAATCTCCCAAGAAGTGTGAGTCACCACAGCATGTTTGTCTTGAGTCAATGAGCTATTACTCATTACTATTACATGTATTAGCATTACTTTTCAAAGCGGTGCACTTGGGTGCAAAAAATGCTATTGTATTACTGAGTTCTAGTCCCTTTGTGCAACACTCACATACTATTATATTATCCATCAATATGCAAAATATAATCACCCTGTCATATTTCTAAGCGTAAGCATTCAGCATGGGATCATGAGCACACCTAAACAGATGTATGGACTACATCCAAGCCATGGAATAAGGGAGCTCGGTGGCACATGCTGCAGTCCTAGGTGGTGAAAATGCAAATCAGAAACCAGGCCAGAGTGTGTTTCTAGCTATATGCCCAGTTTTCCTTCCTGCAGAAACCAAAAAGCATGGATTGGGGAATGCTGTTACGACATAGCCAGAGCATGCCTCTGCTTTGGGGGGGTTAGTAGCAGACCCAACTGTTCACTGATGCATACAGCCAGTGTTCAACAGATTGCTTACAGTGTTGCAGGGTTGGAGTGCGGGATTCACAAACTGTCTGCACAAAGTGGCATCCAGAGCACAAGTGAATGGTTCTTACCATTTGCCCTACTCTTTTTTCAGCGAATGCACTGAAAATTCTGCAACCTATTTCTTTTCATCAGGGTGCATTTGAGCAAATGATATTATTCAAAGCCTGGCCATTTTTTATACTTAAAAAGTTCTCTATCTGAGAACACAACTGGAAATTCATGCAAATCTCACTTTTTGGAGATACTTATATATCACGTCTCACAATACATTCACAATAAACGCAACGAGCACAGATGAGCTAGCTCAGAATGCTGCACATAGACCGTATCTGCTGACGAAAGAAAAAGACCAAGCAGCAAGGGAAAACATTAGGAGGTAGGCAGTAGACAAGCAGCAAGATGAGAGCTGAGCCAAAAATAAGAAAGCCCACTTCAGTGGAGTTCCCTGAGTTTATACCAACTGAAGATAAGACCCAAAGTGAGCAAATAAGCCCTCTCTCTTTCTTTCTAGGATCTTCTGCCTCCTATTTCCGTAGGCTGGAAATGGGCTGTATTCTCACACCGATTTGCCGGAGTGCATGTTTTCATTCTCCTCAGTAAGAAGGATGCTGAGTGGCTCAACACAGACCTTGACTGGGTACACGTATGTTCTGCAAGCTGCACCTTTCTGCCATGAAGTTACTGGAATATTTACTAAGCCGTATCAGTTAAAGAAAGGCTCGCCACAAATCAGAGCAAGATGGACAGAGACCAAATGACACAGTTCTGGGGATCTGGGCAGGCGTGAGAGAGGAGACAGCTGGTTCCCTTTGCCAGCCAAGTGAGACCTGGGAGAGAGGTATCCTGTGGCTTTGAGCCTTGACGCAAACATTCCCGTGCTCATGGAAAAATTACGTGCCAAATACTGGTTGGAAAACCTCATCACAGACAACACAGAGGAGGGAGGTACGGGCTTAAAGATTTTTTATGTATATGCCCTCCCACCGGCTGCAGTGGGTCTGTGAGGATATTCGGAGGCAGGAGCCAAGTCCACCTCCTCCCTCGCAGGGGTGCAGAGCTGCCGTAGTGCTGCACTGTCCAGCAGTTCGGGCAGGACTCGCTACTCCTGCTGCCATTCCTCCTCTGCCTTCAGGACAAGGTGATGAGCCCAACCGCCTTGCAAAAGGCAGTGCAGAAGGGATGTGAACCTGATGGATCTGTGGGAAGGGGAAGAAGAGTGAAGGAGAGAGGGTAAAGGAAGCAAACTGGGATGAAAGCTGAGTGCCTCAAGGCAAGCCATTTGGCCCCTGCAGCATCTCCCTGATCTAGAGCCTGGAGCTAGGAAAAGGTGGAGTGTGGTGGGGTCTAGCTACAGTCCTGCCCTGGAGCAAGCAATTTTTGTGCCAACAGGCCTCAGAGATCTGAGCTGTATCATTTCCTCTGGAATTTAAACACTGCTTAAAACACCTGTGCGTCAGAGCTATGCTTGTTTCTTCAGTTACAATACCAGTCACTTCAAAGGCTTTTTACTTTATGTTTGTCCTCTGTTTCCTTAAATAAACACAATCTCCCTTTAAGGTGAGCAGAGGGTACAGAAGCCAGCGTGATCCCCTCTGGGGTCAACCTTGAACACCTGAGGACTGCCCAGCAGCGGGGCTGAGCGCAGCTCAGGGCCACGCACCCACTTCTACGCAGTCTCCAATCTGCTCATCTCCCACCCAGTGTCACCCACTGGGTGTCGGAGCTCAGTGGAAAGAGCACAAGGAGCAGGAGCTGGAGCAGGGACTGCGTCAGCTGGTCCTGGATGCCCCATCTGAGAGCAGAAACCCACCTCTAACCACAGGGAGAAGCTTTTCCCCATGGCTACGACTCCAGTGCAGAGGGCAAGGGGAAGCAAGAAGGGGTATGGATGCACTAACCAGCACCAGGACTGCTCACACCAAGCCACGCTGCAGTGGAGACCTCAGATTACCTCATTAACACAGCTGAGAATTATAGGAGTCTCATGGGCAGCAACCTGGCCACAGATGTAGCAGGTAGCCCTGGCTGGGATCCTTTGCCTTTCTCCTCTGGCTACCATCTCCTCCTCCAATTGCTTTCACCAGAGCGAAGTACCTGCCACATCAGTGCTTGGCATTATACACAGATACCAGGGGCAGAGCAATGAAGAATTTTGTCCCTCATCAGGTGAACCAAGTACCACCTGCATCAACCTGCTCTGCATCCCCTTTTTTTTTTTTTACCCTGAAGGGAAACAAAAATGAAAGATGAGGCTACCGGCCATTTTCATACAATTGTTTTGAGTTCAGTCCAGTTCTGTACTCATATAAACCTGATTCAGACAGCAAACAACTCCCTCAGACACTTGCTGGCCCTATGAGTTTACTGCCCTCCAACAGGTTACAAAATACAGATGGTGGCTTTTGTCTTTGGCGAAGAACAGCTGCCCATAAATGCCCATGCCCCTTCCTCTATCCACCACGGAGCTGATCACCCAGGCTCAAACTGGCATGTTCAGCGTGCGGGGACATGCTAACTACGAGCACAGAAGGGCCTGGAGCTGTGCTGGAGCTGCTCATCTTTGCATATACCCTGCAGAGCCACTTGCCAGCGCACACTGGCCCCACACTGGGACAGGCTTCGAGTTTGACTCTAATGTGGGTAACAAAGTTCCCCAGATAAATTAGACAGAAGGAGGGGGAATCCTTCCCAGCATAAATTAACAACAAAGTAATTAGATTCCCTGGCCAATCCTCAGTGACAAATTCCCCTATAGGGCAAGAA